CAGATCAAATCCTGAGACAGAACACAAGAGTCACAGCTCTCAGTCCTCACTTCCTACTGAAAATACTCGGGGAAAAAGTAGTATTCTCAAGATTGATTTTTTTTTTTAATGTACTCATTTTCTAGCCTGTCTTTCAAACCTTTATGCTTCTGTTTGTATTGGGCACTATAAACACTAAAAACCTGTGCATGGTGCTGAAATATTAAATGCTTTTGACTGATTTCAGGACACAAACTTATTTTATCTGGGCTGTAAATCAACGGGGCAGGGACACAGTAGTTAAACAAACCGTAGTAGTCCATAGTCTGAGTAAGAATGCTGCAGTTACAGAGCTCATTACCACACGCCTACTTAGCAGACCGAGTAACGTGCTAATCTAGAATTACTATTTGTCATACTTAAGAAAAAGCAAAGAATAGCTGGGCAAACAGTCAACTTCCAACCAAAGTGAAAGTAAAGCACTGCCAAGAGACACTGGAGCTTATCTCGCCCCTACTGAAATGAATGGAAACTTGGGCAAAACCTGCTCTAGCATTAAGTTTACTTAAGTTCACATATTTTGGCTCGATGCTCTCTTCACGAGTGAATAAAAAACTTTGGGAAGGTAGATGTTGGAAAGGAGAATATTGGCAATTCCTTCACTATAGTAATAATTGCTGACATTGCTGTAGTCGCTCTGGCTAAAAATATCCGATACAATAACAAACCCAGTGAACCCATTCATTTATTCCCATTTCACAAAGGCTATTTGCATACATAGAGAGGCTCAAAATAAATTCGGTATTCCTCATATTTCCAGCACATTCCAGCCCACCAAGTTGGCATCGAAACTATTTATTTAGGGAACGTCATCCAGGTTAGAATGTTTCATATCTGATAATTATTTTTGATCTGAGCATGCAGTGCTTACAACTGGTGCGTGCTGGGCCTGTGCGTTATAAATGTGATGGTAAACAAACTCCATGCTCTTTAAAACATTATCTTTTTGTCCAAAAGCAATCTAATTATGGCTGTATTCATAACACAGTTAAAAGTGAAAAAGCTAAAAGAAAATTTAAATTGCAGCAAGGGCAGCCGTACTAATGAAAATCCGATTTTGTAAAGTGGATCTGAAGGTGTTTGTGAAGACGTAACTTGCAGCGCAAGCACATTTTTTTCACCAACCTCTTACAATTCTCTGAGATCTTAAAATATGACCCATTTTGCAACTGGTGCTAAAATTCCGAGAAGTTCTGAAATAAAACCTGAGGAAAGCCGAGCAGCAGGGTTGCTCTCCATTTCAGCCAAATCCAAGCCAATGTTCCAGATTATATATATCATAACATGAATGACTTCTTCTGAAAAATGCCATCCAGCTTTTATGTAGGTCCATAAACATTACTGGTACTTTTATTAATTTGTCCATAACCATTTAAATAAAATTCTAGAGCTCTGAGCTGTGATCTGTTCCAGGCTGTAGTAAGTTCCTGTTAAATGTGTAAATGTTCAGCAGAAAGATATTTTTGCACGGAGACTGAAAATCAGCTGTGCCAGATACCTGAAACTTTGTTAGGGCGTTCAGTGGAAAATTTTATTTCGACATTATAAATAACCCTGGACTATTTTAAGTGACCTTAAACTGGTAGCTTCCAATGACTTAGTTTAGTTTATCCTAATTAACTTTTTATTTTATTTTAGTAGGAAGACAGGCAACTGTAACATTTTTGGTGTGACTAATTATAAGTGGAAACGTATCTTCTAGTTTGAAATGAAATAAATCATGATTGTCAGGCTTATATAGCATTTGGTTATAAAACAACCTCTCGCCTTCTTTCTAGTGCTTTTGGAATGGCTCTTACGGAGTGTATTAGAGCCAGCTAAGGAGGGAGTGGAGAAAGCCAGAAGAATCTATAAACACAAACATTTTACCAAAATAATTATGAAAAAAATGTATTTTCTGTATCACAACCGTAGCAAACCAGAGCTTCTGCGTATCTACCAGTCCGTATAGGTGATGAGTAATTGTGCTTTGGAAACGCATGTGGCCACTTCTGGGGAAAAGCGGATCCCTGTGGTTGTCGGGGGAAGCGGGGCGAGCTCAGGAGGGCTTTGCAGTATTATCCGCAAGGATCGGATTTTCACAACGGGGTGGAAAACTTCCAGAGCCCCTCCAACCTTGGACCGGGGAAAGAAAAAAAAAAAAGTGAGGGAAAGAAAAGAAATAAAGAAGCAGAGGGCACAGATCCCTGCGGGGCAGTGGGTCGGGGGGTGCCGCTCCCCGGGGGAGGCGTGGGAAAGCCGCGGAGCGCAGGGATGGAGAGATGTTCGCGGAGCCGGGGCTGGGCGGGCGCGGAGCGGGGCCGCAGCCGCAGCCGCGGTGCGCGGAGCGAGAGCTCTCCCCTGTGACCGATCGGCGGAGCTTGCGGGTTGTTCTGCTGCTCCGGAGCCGAGCGGAGCAGGAGCCGCTGCCGCCTCTGCTCGCACCTCCCCCCCCCGGCACAGCCGGGGTTTGCCCGGGGGGGGGCAGAAATTGGGGGTAGGGGGTGTAGGAGGGCGCGGGGGGCAGCGCTACCGCACGGCGGGAGGAGGGCGCGGAGGATCCGCGGGTGTGGAAACAGCCCCGGAGGTGCTCCCACCACCCACCCGCACACCGACACCCCCGAGCGCCGGGCGGCTTCGCCGGGCGTTTGGCGGAGGATCCGACGGGACAAACCGGCGGTGCCGGGCTGGGGGCTTGGAAGGGCTCCGTGGAAGGGCCGCATCCCGCGCACCCCTCAGCACAGACAGGCACACACACACCGCCCCGAGTCACACACAGGCGGCGAGCAAGGAGCACACACGCAGCGCCGACTTTTTACAAGAAGGTGGAAGTAGCAAGTCGGAGTAAAGCCTTAGAAATTAGAGGGCGGGTTGTGATAGGCTGTTATCTGCGCGGGGAGGCGGTGACACTTTCATACCATTGGGTATGTAAATGCTTTTTAATAAGATCTGCCCTTTTTTTTTTTTTTTAAGGGAGAAAACAAACCAGACTCCCTTTACCTTAATAGTCTGAAGGGGGTTTTATAGCTTTCATTCATTCAAGGAAATGGTTTAGGCTTTAGACTACCGGAGACTTAGCAAAAAACCCTTTGGCACCAGATTATTCTTACTATTATTTTTTTTGCAAACAAGATTTTTCATGCCTTTTTTTTTAAAAAACAAACAAGCCCAAAAGTGTTAATGGAAAAAACCCGGAGAGAAGTGGAGATCCGAGACCGTCTCCTGCTCCCCCCCTTCCCCGTTCCCCTCCCCGTGGGTGAGAGTTTCTCCTCCTGGGGGGGATGCACACTGGTTTATTTATTTTGAAGGCTGCAGAAGTCTGAGGACTGAAGCACCACGTGCTGCTGACTCTCATCAGCATAATGATCGCCTTAGCCAGAGAGTCCTGTATATATAAACCACAAAAACCTAATCATTAGAAATCCCAGCCTCCAAAAACCACATTCAGGACAAAAAAACTGTGGCGTGGGTTTGGTTTTTTTTCCGGCTCCTTCATCTTCCCCGACCTCAACTTCTTGGGACCCAAAAGAAGTTTGTTGCTTTTGGTTGTTTTTTTTTTCATTATTATTATTTTTAACCCGATTTTTCAGAAAGAAAAATAACTCAAATCAAGCGACATTTTAATGATTTTTTTGCTGCCGTTGTTCATCAAGGGCAAAAAAAAAAAAAGCAAGATTTTTCTTCGCCTGTTCAACTCAACGGACTTGGATCCAGCAGCGACTTCATGTGAAGGACTGGGCTGCACCGAGGCTGCCTTTTCCCAGAATTTACTTGGTCATATTTTAGAAATCAGCCTAAGGAGGGGTGTTTTATTGTTGTGTTGTTTGTTTTTTTCCAACTATGCTCCCCGCTTTTTTTTCCCTGGGAATCCGAAAGTTTAACTTTTCTTAAGTCCTGATCCTCCCAAAGGAACTGGCTAAAAAGTCTCTCTTTTAATTATCAGCCCTGTGACTTTCCTCTTTACCCCAACAACTCCATTAACTTTCTTTCCACGCCGAAATCGCTTCGGGAGCACCTTTTTTTTTTTGAGGGGGGAACCACTTTTCCCAAGCCCCTTCCCGAGCTCCCGCTTCCTGAAGCCAAAGGCAATAAGCGGGAGAACCCAGCGGCTCCTCGCTTCTGTCCCAGCGAGGCTTTTTGTTTGCTGCCTTTTTTTTTTTTTTTTTTTTTTTTTTTGTGTGTGTGTGTGCGTGTGTGTGTGTGCGTGTGTGTCCGGAGGAGGAAGATTTCCTCGGAGGAAACCGGGACGTTCCCCTGAACCCCCCCTCTCCTCTCCTCTCCGGGGCTGAGTTACGCTCCGATTCTGGCGGCCACCAGCAGCAGCAGCCCAGGAAGCTGAACCAGCAGCGAGTTCTACTTTTCCCAAGACAATATTTGGAAAATCCGAAAAGGAAAAGAGGACAGGGAGGGAGGGGAAGAAAAAAGGAAAGAAACTCAAGCACTTGAGGGAAGAAGCGGTGGCTAGAAGGAGGGAAAAGAGCAGAGAGACTGTGCGAGAAGGAAGGAAGGAAGGAGGAGGAGAAGCAGCAGCGCTTTGCAGCTGGGCAGAAGCCGGGACCATGCAGTTTCCAGCCGGGCTGTGCTGAGAGGGGCAGCCCCGGACCAACCGCCAGACTCTGCCTCCTTGCTGCTCCGGGCTGCAGGCGCCCCCAGACCGGCATCACCCACCGCCCTGTCCGTCTTTCTTTAAGAAAAAAAAACCCAAAACAAACCAAAACCAGACTGAGATTTTTTTTTCTTCGTGCTTTTAATCCGCTCCTTTTTTTTTTCTATTTTTTGCCTGTTTTGCTTTTTTGACCCTTATCCTCACCCCTTCACTTTTTCACTCACTCCTTTTTTTCGCTAGATATATATATATTATTTTTTTTACAACCCCCCCCCCCCCCCCCCCCCCCCCCCCCCGAGACATCCCCCCCCCCCCCCCCCCCCCCCCCGCCCCCCAATTCGCTAACTTGTGGCTGTTGTGATGCGTATTCCCGTAGATCCCAGCACCAGCCGGAGGTTCAGCCCCCCCTCCAGCAGCCTGCAGCCCGGCAAGATGAGCGAGGTCAGCCCGGTGGTGGTCGCCCAGCAGCAGCAGCAGCAGCAGCAGCAGCAGGACGCGGCGGCCGCCGTGCCCCGGCTGCGCCCCCACGATAACCGCACCATGGTGGAGATCATCGCTGACCACCCCGCCGAGCTGGTCCGCACCGACAGCCCCAACTTCCTCTGCTCCGTCCTGCCCTCGCACTGGCGCTGCAACAAGACCCTCCCGGTGGCGTTCAAGGTGAGACACCCCCCTCCCGCGGTCGCCCCGGCCGGGGATGCTCCCCCTACGCCGCGCCGGCTGCGCTTCCACCCGCAGGGGCTTCTGTGCCAACCCCCGGCCCGCGGTGTCTCCGGTGATCCCCGTCCCGCAGGAGCTTCTGTGCCCCCCCGGCCCGCAGGGGTTTCTCTGTGTCTGTCTCGCAGTGTCGCCGGTGCCCCCTCCTCCCCCGTCCTGCAGGGGCTTTTGTGCCCCCGCGGCCCGCAGGGACTTCTGTGCCCCCCCCGCCCCCCATCCTTCAAGTGCCTCCTGTTTCCCCCAGGTCCGGAGGGACTTTTGTGTCTCCCCCTCCCCGGCCTGCAGGGACTTCTGTGCCCCCCGCACCCCCTCCTGTAGCGTCTCCTGTGCCCCCTCGGCCCCCCCGGGCTCCCGTGTCCCCCCCCCCCCCCCGGGCGCCCCTCCCCCCCCCCCCCCCCCCCCCCCCCCGCAATGCCTCTGGTACCCCCCGGGCTGCAGTGCCTCCTGTACCCCCCCTACCTACCCCAGTCCTGCAGTGCCTCCCCGTGCACCCCCATCCTGCAATGCCTCCTGTTACCCCCGGCCCGCAGGGGCTTCGCTGACCCCCCAGTCTGCAATGACTCCTGTATTCCCGCCCCCCCAAGTGTTCAAGTCGTACAGTGGCTTCTGTATCCCGTCCTCGTTCTGCTGTGCCTCCTGTACTCCCCGTCCCGCAGTGTGTCGGGGTGCACCCCCGCAGTGCCTTCCAACTGCAGTGGTCCCCGTGCCCCGCGTCCTGCTGCGTTTCCTGTGCCCCCTGTAGATCTGCTCTGCCCCCCTCACCCTTGCCACGGCCCCCGTGCCCCCGGAGCCATCCCGTTATCTCCATCCCCGCGGGGCACTGCCGGCGTTGTCCTCCCCGGGACGCCCTGTGCCCCCCTCATCATCCACCCCGGAGACACTCCCTGCGCCCCCTCTCTTTGGGCTTTCCTTTTTTTTAAAAAAAAACCCCAAACCTTGCGTTCCCTTCCTGAGGAAGGGGGGAGCTCAGTGTGGCAAAGTGGGTGCCCCCCCTCTTTCGAGAAACTCAGTCCCTGACCCACGGGGGTGTCCCTTCCTTCCTCTCCGCTCCCGGGAGTGGGACTGGGGGATTTGGGGTGGCTCTGAAGCGTGCGGGAGGGTGGAGTGGGGTCCGAGGTTCAGGCTGGGGTTGAAGAGTGGGATCGCGGCTTTGCCCTCCAGCATCCCGGGCTGAGATGGGGCTGGGAAGGGGGACTCAGAGCTCCTGGGTGGGGGGGACACGAGGTCCCTTCACTTCTCCTGGTGGACAAGCGAGGAAGTGGCTGCCCAGAGACGCTCTCTTTGGCAGGGTCGCACGTTTCCATAATAAATCCCACCCCGCTCCGCACCGGGGATGCTGCTTTTAATTTTCTGTCTCCATCCCCACGGCGCGCTAATGAGAGGAAACGATTTTTTACAAAAACTGTAATAATAACAACAATAATTGCATGCTTTAAAACAAGCCCTTTTCCTCCCCTAGCAATACTTCCAAGCATGCCCCTGGAGTTTTTCCCCCAGTGGCCTTTGGTAGGGAGGGGGCAATGGCTGGGGATGTCCCCAAGCACCTGTCTGAGTGGGATGTGGGGTCGGAGCGAGGTATGTTGGCCCTGTGAGGGCCTCATCATACCAACGTTTTCCTGTGAAAAATAACACGCCTGGAAATCCCTCAAAGAGCAGAAAAGTTTGGATATGGTCTCACCCAGCATGTTCCAGAACACAGCCTTGTTCTTGTGTTTCCCCACTGCCAGCCGTGTTATCACGGTCGTTTATCCAGAAAAAAATAGTAGAAGTGGTTAAATGAGCTGGTGTTAAAGTGAGTGGTGATAAAGATAGAGCTTTGCTTTGAAAATCTTGCGGGTGTGCGGGTGAGGGTTCACTAAAGTGCTCGTGTGCGTGGGAACAGCTTGGAGAGGCTGGAATTACGGGAGGAACCCTTTGCACAGGGCCTGCTTATGCAGGACAGGATGGTCGGACTCAGAAATGGCAGAACAATGGGGTGTCTTTTGACTTTGTGAGTCGGTGTAGCACTCAGAGTCTCTCTAGGTGTGGATCACGGTGACTCTGATTCACAGGGGCTGCAGGGTGAGGAGGAGGAGGAGCTTTTGCAGAATTGTGATTCTAATTTAATTGAGAGTTAAATTAAGTTGGCATTATAGTTACTCCTTAAAGAAGGGACGCGAGAGCTGTTGCATTATCGTGCTCGCGTTGTTGTTCTCATTTGAAGTGTCTGAGCCTTCTCCTACCTCACAGCAATTCAAAGGATGCGGTCGCAGCTCATTAGAATAAGAGAAAGACCTAAACTAAATATTAGAATATTTAGAATATTATTACAATAAGAATGCCTATGTGTGATAAAAGGATAGAAAAAGGATTACACCGTTTCCCAATCTTTTTGTGTTCATATATATGTATTTATTTGTTTGTCTCCTATATTTGACTGCTGACAGGGCAGTGCAGATCTGACCGATTTACTGATGCTTTAGGGCACATGTTGCCCCTTGCACCCTTCCACTGTGGGTGCAGCTGTGTTTTCGCATGCAATACGTACTTTTAAAAATTATTCCTAAATTACATTCACTCTTATTTACTGGTAAATTAATTTGATACTCATTTGAAATATTTTTTACTATTTATTAAAAATTTATTTCATTTTTCAAATGTAATTTTCATGCAGTTGCCCAGTAGTTTTAGACCAAAGAAGCTGCATGTATCATCCAGTGAAACACTTGACTGTGTTATAACAGAATGGGAATTAGCTCTGAAAGGGAAAGAAAAGACAGATTTGAGCTATAGAAATCTCAGCTAAACAGTAACTTGAAAGTGAAATAGCTCACAGACAACACACTTTGTGAAGTTTTATTGGCAATAAATAATATGTTGATGATAATGTTTTGAGTGGTGTGTTAAGTGTGTCATAATTCTCTTGCAGCAATCTCCAGTGAAAATGTACACTCGATATAGCACTGTTTTAATTTAAAAAAACAGATATAAATCATATGCAGGAGAGGAAGTATGTTATAAACAGTGCTGGGTTTGATTATAATTTTTTGAAATAGTGTTGGCTTAGCATTAGGTTTGAATTTTAAGTATTAATATTTGCACACACTGGGGAGGGAACCCCTGTTGTGTGCTCTCTAATAAGATTGTTAATGCAAACTGGTTTTGTGGGGAAGAGGATTAGATGGGTACCTATTACTACAGCTCTAGCTCTTCATATTCCAGCAAAAAATAAATGGATATTGTGCACCTGGGTCCAAATTATATTCACTTCTTAATCTCAGTAGCCAGTGGTACTTTAATTGAGTCGAGTCATCAGAACTTGGCCCCTCTGTGGGAGTTTTTACTGAAAGTCATAAAGATTCAAATTGCCACGTTAGAGGTTACAAGTGACTTCTGTATGATGCTAATAGTAGCAAAGAGTCTTAGCGGACCTAAAGGCAGGGGGAAAAACAGGACATGGAGTCTAAAACCTCTCCCCAGTAGCACCACAGTAGTTCTGGGTCTGTCAGCATTTCCACTCCAAACCCCAATTTTCAGAGTTTATAACTCAGCTGTTTTAAATAGCTTCAAGCTGAAACCTGCTGTATAAATTGTCAGCCCAGATGTACATTTTGAAACAAAAAGTAGCGCGAATCAGTTATTCTGTTTTAAGTTACAGAACATTAAAATATTTTTAATAGTATCAGATGCTCTTTTGGCAATCTCTGGAAAAAGCATTCTCAATACAGAAGATTTTGCATTCAGAGGCGGTTTGAATTCAGTGTTTCGCAAGAAAGTTGTTGAAGTGGCAGATACCAATGTTTGGGAGGAACTATTTAGCATGTACATTGGTGGGGTTTTTTTAAACAAGCTTTTTACTCTGCAGAAAGTCTGAGTACCTGCTGTTGTGTACTAATTTTGCTTTGTGCCTATAACTTCCGTCTGTAGGGTACACGCTTTGGCCAGTTCAAATCCCACTGGACCGAAACTGGGCAAACAGGTTGCCTAACCAGATGAGAATTGTGTTATGCAAAAAACACATAGTTATTTTCAACGTGTAAGAATTGATTTGCTTTTATTTTGGGGCCTCATTTGACTTTGTGTACCGTTTTGAGCTTTGGTTAAAAAAAAAAAAAGCAAAAGCAAAACCTACTTTTAATCCTAGAAATGTGTAGAGAGTTTGTAATGGAAAATAAATGTGTTGAAATAGTAGAGACACTGAGATAAAGAATAGGCAAGGAATGCACTGTGGCTACTTCTCATCTTTAATTTTTTACACAGTCTTTACTCATTTAGCAGTGCATTTACAATCCTCTTTCTAAGAATGTCATTAATTTTGTATTGATACATGGCATAAAATTGCCAAATAAAGATTTATGCCAACAGTCTTTCAGTAGGTACAGTTACTTCTTAAAATTCTCAAAATGATGTGTATTTCTCCAGGTTCCAAACTTGTTTTGCAAAGCTTTTTTTTCTATCCAGAGCTATGGATATTTACCTGTGTAGTAGTTCTCTGGTATTTTGTGGCAAAAAAAGTATCAAATTATGAAAAGAACGCGCATTTTACTCCTGTTGGCTGACAGGGGAGCTTCCCATGTCATAGGACCTTATTTTATTAGCCAAAGATTTGATTTTCACCTCTGATTTCAGTTTGTCTTGTCCTTTGGTCTCCTCTGAGTGAGATGAATAGTGATATTGCATCATGCTGCATCCAAAGCCTCTCAGTACCAATACAGCTCTTGATTAGGCGCAATTGCCCGGCGACAGCAGCAGCACGTGCAGCTCTGGGCTGATGGCTAAGCTGACAAATTGAACTGACATCCAGTGGAAGGGGCAGACAGGAAAGCTCTGAGAAGCAACAGGGGACAGAGGGGAGCTTTTTAAGAGGTTTTGCTCCCTCCTGCCCAGGTGTTATAAACTGTAACTGTGTTTGGGGCTGTGATGGAGCTGTGATGGCACTGCCTGTCTGTGCTCTGGGTGCCTGGGGAGAAAGAGGTGAGCTGAGGCTGCAGGCATCTTGCTCTCTCTCGCGAGGCTCCTGGCAGCCTTGTGCTTCCTCCTGAGCTCTCAGCTTCTTTGCATTTCTGGAGTTGATGTGATTTTTTGTTGTTGTTTTGTGAGATATAAAAAGCGTAGGGTGCAACTCCCCGGGATGCTGATGGGCGAGACAAGACCGTCCAGAGATAACGTGGTGTGTCACAGGCTGGGAAGGGAGTGGTTTATAAGTAGTCTCAAGCCCCATGCTTTAAAGCCAGTATCCATTTATTAACTGTTAGAGTCAGCTCTATAATCTGTTCAGCAGATTATTATTTGTTATTTGATTATTATTTATTATTCCTTACACCTGGCTTTGAAGCTGTCAGATCTGGTTGCTGCCAGACCCAAGTCAGAGAGTTAGTGAGATCTCAGATCTTACCCACAGCGGTGGTTCCTCTGTTTTTATGTTGAGGGACATTCATATCACTTTAAAGTAAAATCTCTGTTTGATAGATGAAAACCTCATACTAGTTTGTGGCAAAACTCAGTTTTCAGTTTTGGGTGGTATTACCTGGTGTTTATGGAAAAAAAGACTTTCAGCTTTGCTTGCTTTTTTCGATTCAATATTTCTTTTAAATAAGACAAGCTGTACTTTTCAGTAATATGCTCTATTTCAAATATTTTCATATTTTGTATACCTTTGTAATTTGTTTTTATCGTTTGAGAGAAACATTGTACAGTGTACTGGGCCACATGCTCTCCCTACATATCCAGAACTCCTAATTCTTTCCACTGAATCAATATCACTGTGCAACCTGCAATTATTAGTTTCAGCCAGGATCATTTATAGGAAAGACATTTCAAGCAGGCCGTATCACAAAATGCAATATATATTTCAGGAGATAGAGTGAATTACTCTGAATAATATAAGAAGTCATATCTGACCATGTAAACTGGTAGAAACTGCAAGTGGAGACACTTTGTAGCTCAAGATATTTTTTCAAGTTTGAGTTCGGCCATGCAATATTTCTGAATCTCTTTTTGTTATAAATTTATTTCCGTAAACAGGGAAAAGGAAATTATTTTATTCATACTTTTGTGGCCTTTTTTTTTCCCCACGTGTATGTTTTCTGCCTAGTCAGCTAGTTAACTCCTGTTTAACTTTACTTTTAATTTAAAAAGTCATAGTACACTGTAGGTATCCCTGGTGTTTTCAGACTAGAAGCTGTCTGCTTTGTGACATTTATCTACTCAGATGTTGGAGCACTACTGAACCACTGAAGCATAAAAGTGAGACTATCAGGTAGCTGGAACGTAAGGAGAAGTGAAATACTTTGATATCTTCTGTTCACCCATCCTGGAATTTGAGGGAGGTATCAGCAGTAACCACATGCGACTCTTGCGAGCGCTATGAAAATTTACATGCCTGCAAGGAAATACAGCTTTGTTTTATATTGCATCTGAAGAGTTTGAATTCCAGCCACAAAGTGCTCCATCCCAGAGCGTGCTGGGCGTAGAGCTTTGTCTACTGATGCCCCGAGTGCCACTCCTGGGATGGGTGGATGTGGGGTTCTCTCTGGCTTGAAGTCTGCGGAGCTGGGGGGTTAGGGTGATGGGTGTAAACAACAGAGAAGTAGAACCAATTCTGAGTGATAAGGCTGCTAATAGTAATTTCCAGCTTTCAATTTCAAATGTGTTCCCGTGTATAATTTATGGATACGAGCTGTGCCTCGTGTTCTCTCGCTGCTCGTTGGTTGCTAAGAACAAAGTTGGCCTTCAGGAAGCATTAAAGCAAACAGTCTGTATAAGGACACTGAATGTTTCTGAAGAAATGCAACAAAGAAGAAACTCCCTGTTAGGCTCTGAGAAAGGGAGACAATACATGATGTTTCTCTGTTTGATGTGGCACTTTGTTCTGTGAGCAGCGAGTGCAAGACTCCTCACCGCAGCGGGCTGGAGAAGCTGCCACGGAGCCTCATAATGAGTGTGGCAGCCTGGAAAACTGGAAGGGAGACACATGCTTCCAAAGTGTGGCTTTACCAGTTGTGGTTGTCTTCCCATTTTTACAGGTGGTGGCCTTAGGAGAAGTGCCCGATGGGACAGTGGTCACTGTCATGGCTGGAAACGATGAGAACTACTCTGCAGAGCTGCGAAACGCGTCTGCCGTGATGAAGAACCAGGTGGCCAGATTTAATGACTTACGATTTGTGGGCAGAAGTGGAAGAGGTAGGCCACTGCCTTTTATGTGTCCATAATGAAGGGAAAAACAATGTCTGGATGTCAGGCTTACTTTGCAATGAAATACTGATTAATCCATAAATCCATTGTTCATAGAATCATTGAAAAGTTTGGGTTGTAAGGGATCTTAAAGGTCATCTAGTTCCAACCCTCTGCTATGGGCAGGGACACCTTCCACTAGACCAGGTTGTTCAGATTGTCAGCCTTTCATTTGGAGGGGTGTACACATGTTTTGGTGGCAAACTTCAGCATTTGCACAAAGCAAATTAAGAGTTTTCTTCCATTTTTCTGACTCCTCGTGTCTCTGTAGTCTTTTATCAGACGCAGGTTTTGAAAAATGATTCACAGAGTACCCACTTTCCTGTTTTAATCACACAGGAAGGGTGGAAGGAGAAGGGCATATGTGTGATCTGGGTTATGTGGAGTCAAAAAGTGTATTTCAGTCCATGGCAGTGAGAGGTGGAGAATTCCCTTTAGCAGTAAAGCTTCTGAAGTTGTTGTAGAAGACCTGTAATTAGGGGGATTTTGCATATCACATGTGCCATAGGTTGTATTCTTTAAGGACTTAGATCTTTCAAGGCTTAACAGCTATTGGTGGAAAATTTACTAGTGACTTCTCTGCCCTTTACAATCAAACTGCTGATAACCTGTGAAAATCACCCCTGTGAAAATCTTTTTAGTAAACTGGTTGACTCTTTATGAATTGCTGGTAAGTTTGGGCTTGAACTCAATGTTACCTTTAGTTTAAACGACATGGTAACTTCCAATTTTATTTTTTTTCTGAAGTTGTAGAGTGCTGTCATTGTCTTCCAGCTGTTTAGGAGCTTCCTATAATCTGGAAAGGGCACTGCACTTAAAGAAAGCCTTTGTAATCATTGCAAGTTTGCAAGAATTCCTCTTTAAGGGTCTCATGGCTGCTTTCAAGCTTCAGGTAGTGATTGAAAGGATATCTTGAAGGAAGCTGGCACTGCAGTTCTTACTGCGTGAATCTTCAAAATGTTTGGTTGTATCAGTCATTGTTTCAACCTACAATTTTTTTTCCCTTTATGTATTTGAAGTTATTCATTTTTCTAAACTAGCCCTGCGTGGGGCAAACCAAAGCAACAGAAGCAGAACAATTATGCTAGGAAATTAGCAATAAAGCTAATTTTACAGTAATATTCCGTAGAAAGCAGTTGCAGTTCATCTTAAGGAAGGAACAAATTTTCTTCCAAAAAGAAATTAAACATGTGACAGAGGCCCAGATAGTCTAAATCTGTCAGCACATTTTTACAAGTGTTTTGTGAGAGTGAGTCTATAAGCAGGGCTTACAGTGGCTATTCTTTATTTTAGTGACCTGGCCCAAAATTCTCTTTATCATTTTAAAACTTGCAAAGTATTGATAGGAATAACTTTTGCAACAGTAATGCAGTATAAATACAGAGTTTATTCCCCTTTTGAACAAGGAGTTATCTCTCTCTTCCATTTGTCTTCCTTTCTTTTAGAAAAACAGTTTGCTTTGTTATTCTGCTGATGGATTAGGTTTGAAAGTTCTCTGGCTCCATCTCTACTGCTGCCTTACAGTAGAAGTTCAGTGGTGTATTGGTTTTTCAGTAGTGCTGAAAAAGGACAGAAATGTGATGTACTACCTCTGATCTGTGAATTTAATTTCAAACCCACGATATATACTTTTTATTAAAGTATAGGAAATTAAATAAAGGACTAAAGCCTCCATAGATACAGCTACAGACACAAACACAAACCTCCTAAAATTTGGTTCCAGTAGTTTAATTTATATTTTTATCTAGCAGACTTGGAGTAGACTTTCTCTCTGATCAATCTGGGTAGAATCTATGGAAAAGTGATAGTGTACTTTTCAAACCCTCAACATATTTATTTAAGAGACTTCAAAGAAAAACAAAGGGTGTGCACTGTTTTACTATATTGGCTTTCTGAGTTTTGGCCAGTTTCCCAAATAGCAATTTTTATATTTAAAAAAAAAAAAGAAAAGTAAAAAAAAAAAAAAGGAAGAAAAAAGACAGACTTAACTGCTTGCAGACTTTTCACGCATGGAAGATGAAGAAAGCTTCTTTTGATGAAGTGTAATTATGTCCAAACAGAGCTGACCCCCTCCCCCTATATTTCTTATGATCTTAACGGAAGAAAGTAGGGCTTTTCCTTTGAAGCAGCCGGGACTCGGTGGAGGATCTGAAATGCTGCATTCTGCTGCCAGAGGCAGGATGGAGAAATTGGTCCAGACTTGTCTTCCAGACTTAGAACACAGAGGGGGAGAAGGAGAGAGAGAGAGAGAGAGAGAGAGAGAGAAGGAGAAAGAGTTATCATCAATGATAGATTTTTAGAACTCTGCTTAAAATACCAGGAAAAGAAAGCAGTGGTTGCAAACAGAAGTGAGAAAGCTCCTTACATAGACAAATATCGGTAAACACAAGTCTTGAAGCAGAACAGGAAAAAATAAAGTAATAAAGAAATCCTTTTCAGGTGGCAAGAAACTAATCCACACCTGTTCCTGACTTCAGATTTACATCTTTCTAAGCAGCTCGTGCTTTGATCTCTGTATCTCTAAATTTGATTGTGAAGTCTGAATCATCAACTTACCACTTCACCTCCTCTCCCACGTTTTTACTTGCTTCCCATGGCTCAATGGAGAAACTCGATTTTTATACATATTTATGTTGCTTGCCTGACAGAAGCTTCACGTTTCTGTTTGTATAATTTCTCCTAAACGCCATTTTTGGATTCATAAGAATAAGTAACCAGAGTGTTTGATGCAAATGCAGCAGTTGTTGTATGTGGTTTTCAGGCAGTAGCTCACTTTTACAAGCCTGATCCACAGCACATAGAAGAAAGAATTCCTGTCTTCAATAAGCAAAGGATCATAACCTTAATTTTGTTGTGTCCCGATACTTTAATCACATTAGCATCTAACTGAAAAAATATGCAACACGCACACACAAGCTGCTGAGTCTCCTTTCAAGATCATTTCTGGGGTTTGCCTTGTGCTTCAGCATATGTCCATCTCGTCCTCCTCTGTGTCAGCTCAGCTCACATGTGTGAATAACAAAGAATGCACAGTTTAGACACACTGAAGCAATAGTGCCAGATGACTGCTTGGCTGGGGAATTTAATAAAAGAGAACTACAATTAGTCTTTAGCCTCTGAAAGTGGATAGTTGAAGTGACTAAGGGCAATAAAGAAAGGTGATAAAAAGTGCATTAAAGGATTTTGTAGCTGAGAAGGGATATCTGTGAAATAGCTGTGGAAGGCATCAGCATCACTGAAACAGTGAAGAACAGTAAAAATTTATTTCATTCTTAATCCTGTAATATGTAAATCATCTCTTGAAAGCTCTGGAGTGTGCTGGCAGGGCCGTGCAGCTCCCCACAATGAAGTGCTCTGTGGTTTATGGAGTGTGAGGGGGCTTCGTCGGCGTTACTACATCCACGCTTTGGTTTGGTAAAATACCAGTTAGGGAACAAAACCAGTTTCCCTTTCAAATTAGCTGCTCACCTCTTCAGCTTAGGCTGGCTGAGATGTGACAGTTCAGAAATTTTCACTGTTAAGGTCCAAATGTAACTCTTCAAATTAAGAAACTCATTTTTTTCTGGCCACTGTAACCTGCTGAGTTATATTTAGTGTAGAAAACCTTGCAGTGCTTTTCTATAGAATGATTTTACAGCATCTTACAAATAGTATATTTTGTTGAGTTAATTCTTTCTGTCATGATAGACTTTTGTACGGATTTGGCGTATAAAGGGAATGGTAGCATGGAAGGCCAAATTCTGCATTCAAAGGTATATGGAAATGCCCCTTTAGTATCTTTGTTACCAATAGTATTCTACTGATTTTCCAGAGGTAGCTGTGATCTGAATGTCATCAGCGTAAAACTTAATGGTCAGAACTTTTTGACATGATAAGCTGGTGCCAAAGGAAGCCTTAAACCCATACCTAGAGAATTATGTATCTCCAAGCAGTAGGCTGAATTCATCCTTGGAGAGGGATAAAAGGCACAGACTCTCCTCAGCCCTAAACAAGCAGGCACGGAGGCACTGTGTGCTTGAGCAGGGCTGTTGCTGCCCACACACCCACCATACGCTGGCAGGACACACAGTTCACCTCTGGGACAGCAGATGGGCAAGACTGGACAAAGACTGGACATCCTACACACGCCTAACTCTCCTCCTGTGATGGTCTGAGAAATAATCCCTTTCCCAGGGAAACTGGGGAAAGCCACCTTCAGCTCTGGCCACTGGACAAAGTTCAGACTCCTGAGATTTTTGAACGCTTAAACTGAAAAAGAGCAGGGTTAGATTAGATATGAGAAAGAAATTCTTTCCTGTGAGTGTGGCAAGACACAGGAACAGGTTGCCCAGAGGAGCTGTGGCTGCCCCATTCCTGGAAGTGTTCAAGGCCAGGCTGGATGGGGCTTGGAGCAACGTGGTCTAGTGGAAGTTGTCCCTGTCCATGGCAGGGGGGGTGGAACTAAATGATCTGTAAGATGCCTTTCAACCCAAACCATTCCAAAATTCTGTTATTTTCTGGGGTCCTGACCACCTGACCATCCCTCTAACCTGCATCTCCCAGAGAGCTGGGCACAGCTGGAGCACAGCTTCACCTGGAAAATCATTTTATTCTAAATGACAGTTATATTTCCTTTAAAAAAATTCCATGTCACATTCTAGTTCATGAAAATTATAGCCAAGACAGTTTGAAGTTGCACTCCTGATAATAAATGATGCGTGTCTCAGGCAGGTTTGGGGGATATACGACTTGGACCAGAAAGAAAGACCAATTACTAGATTTGACAGCCAAAGCTCTGTTCTGTATTATGCCTTATATATAAGCTGTTCTGTATTAGGCTTGAAAAAACTGCATTAAGTTTGCACTGTTACATATCGTTTAAGATTTGTGCCTTGATTGAATGCCTTCAGAGTTCAGCGAGAGGAAAAGCCTTAGCAACAAAAATGCACAAATACACCCAGGGAAGGGGAGGGGGGGTGGGAGGGGAAAGAGTTTTAAGTGTCTGGTAAAGTAGCAGCTTAAATGAGCATGAAGGCCAAAGATTGCTGACTGTTTTATTGAGTCACTGTTGTACGCCCACCTTTTCCTGTCTTGAAACAGTTTTCAGTTTTGACTATCTGACATGACTAACCGTTGCATATCTAACAGATTACAACTGTCAGTGAGTCTCCCAAACGGGGGCCAGCGCCTGTGAGAATGTGTGCTCAGACGCAGGCAGCTCCCTTTATTTATTTCTTTTTAACGTTTTCATTCAGTTAAAAGTCTGTGGATGATCTTGTGCAATCTCTGCCTGAATTCGAGCTTTGTAAAGTTGAAAAAAAACCAAAAACCAACAATGCAGACTGACGATAGTAACGGACGTGCACACAGACATTTCTCACCCTCACGGGAAAGCTGGGGGCTTTCTTAGGATTTCATAGATGGAATATATATAGGGAAAAAAAGGTGTGTTCCAGTAATAATGATATCATCATATTAGCCCTGGTGTATGAAGGACAGGAGACACTGATTCCCTGTTAAAATATCTCCCGGGAGGAAAATATATTCTTTCCTCATCTTATTGTAGTCAAGTCAAACAAATGAAATGATAAAACTGTGTGAAGTAAATAACATGTGGTCACATTCTGCTCTCTGTCACACAGCTGCAAAACTGGAGTAAATTTTTAAATTATCTGACTCGCTTTGGATTTACACCACTTTCAATACAGCAAAGAATTTGGCTTGTCCTCAGCAGTGAATCACTTTTGTTCTGTCATTGTATGATGACCCATTATTAAATAAGAAACATTTAGATTGTCAACACATGGACGTATTCTTGACATAGAGTAAAACTGAAGGGGAGGAAAACTCCTATGGTCAGTTATGTTTTTAATTTTCACGATTGTGGTAACGACAGGGAATAATTTTAAGCGTCTCTGATTCTTTACTGAACATGCATGTGACTGTTTTCATGTTGTAATCACTCATTCCTTGTTGTTTTTTTCCCTTTGTAGGGAAGAGCTTTACTTTGACAATAACTGTCCTGACAAATCCCCCCCAAGTCGCTACATACCACAGAGCTATAAAGGTTACAGTGGATGGGCCAAGAGAGCCTAGAAGTGAGTATTACATTCTTGTTTTCGCTCTTATGTCTGCTTAATTTTGCTTAACAGAGACCCATAAATGAAATACGTATATCTTTGTCAAACTTTGGTTCTTGCTCAGCAAAATATGTGAGTGCATGCTTAATTTGGAGTCTATTGGACCACACACATACTTGCATTAAACACACACTTAAGTGCTTGGCTGAATTTGGGCAATCCCAAACCTGATTCTCATTCACATCAAGGTCTTGATACATTATCTGCCAGCGCAAATGAGAACTAAACCCACTGTATTTATATGTAATCTGATTTAGGTATAATAGATACAATCCTGCCCCGTGCTGGGTTCCCTGAACTCCTGTAAGCTTCCAAGTGAAAACGTTTAGAACAAAACAGGAACCTGATCTTTCAGGATCAGTCCTAGCGCAGAGAGAAAATATATAATGTAGTGCCTTTTTGTTTGCCCTTAAATTCTTTTGCCATCAGATAATTAATGCACCTGGTTAATCTCATCATACCTGAAATTGGTTTTCAGCTATGGACTCATCGTAGACCCCGAGGGGCCAAAGAAAGATTAAAAAAAAGCAGTGTATCAGCATGGTCTTTGTTTCTTATTTGTACACAGAAAGTATATTTTATTTAAACATGGTCCAGCAGATTTTCATTCAGCACATTTATCTCATAGCCTTGCAAACTTACTAAGAACCTATTTGCAATGATTTATCTATTTTGCAATGGCTGTATTTTTATGACAATTGTGTTTTGTCATGTTCGAGCAGTTTTATGGGCAGCACTTATTTTTAGATGCAGTCAAGCCTGGTTAATCCATCAGGATTTATCTGGCTGTCTCTCTGTCTAGCACATTTAGCTGGTAACCGGTCCCACATCTTATGGGTATCACTGATGAGCCAGTTCTGGAGTTTTTTCTTAATCTGACTAGAATGACTCTTTCTAAATTGATTGGATTAACCAGGTATAGCGTTATTTAAATTACACTTACAGATTAAGAATTATTTGATGAATAACCACATTAAAAGCATCCCTATAATGGAAGCATCTCAAATAATTATTTTACCTTTGATCTGCACATACAAACGAGGCCTTCAAGGAGCTTTCATGGTGTTTTGTTTAAAATACCACAAAGACAGAAGTAGAAAGACGTAGACAGAATTCATGCAGTTAAGTGTTTCTCGTGCTAATACACGCTGCAGCGTCACCTTCTCTTTCATAGAGACAGGACTGAAATGCCTCCTGTAAGAACTGCCCAGGCTGTAGAGTTTCATCTTAAATAACAGCTAAGAAAAAGCAAGTAGCTATGAAAAAATTTCATTACATAGATCCTTGTGTTGCTACCTGCTCACAGCTGAGGTGTCCGGATGTCACAGAAGGGGGATTTTCGTTCTGTCTTCTCTCCGAGCTGAATCAGTTCCCATTTTCAATTTTCACTTGCAGTTGTTGCTCTGTGTAGCTTATTTGGGGGACACTGGAGAAGCTGCATTCATGGAGTAAAAAGCGGGGAATAAGTTATTTAGCAATTCTCATTTGGAGGCTGCTTCCATGTAGGAGGCACTACAAAAGAGATCTCCCAGCAGAGGACAAAACCACTATGAAAGAGCAGAGAGGTTTTAAAGCGATGTGGACAGTAGCGTGGATTAACCTGTGTAGCACAGAAAGGGAACCTGCTGGCACGGAGACTAAGTGTTCTGGTGATCAGTGGATTGAAAGAGAGGCTGTGTCCAAAGAACTTACTAAGATAAGAACTCCAAGTTCTACTATAGTTTTTTAGTTTACACCTAAAAGGCCTCTGTACATGATATCTGTTGCTGTTCCCATTGAATAGCTGAACCTAGGAATGCTCAGTAACTGAGCTAGTGTCTTTCTTATATTTTTTTTTCTTTTTTTTTTTATTTATAAGAAAGTAAATTTTGAGCTTGAGTGTCCATTTGAATCTTAATGTTTCAGCAAAATACTTAGTGGAGCTCTACTCTAGGGTCAGTTGGATTCTGCAGGTTCTGTCACTGCAGTCTGATACTTTCAAGGCTATGACAACTCCAGAATAATTCATTATCAAACTTGAATTTGTAGGTAAAGAGTAGCTCCAGCGAGCTGTGGTAGTTTGACCAAAGCTCTGCTTCCTTCTTAGAGCCCCTGCACTTGTGTATATTTATTACTGTTTGGTAATAACCATTTGAGGAGTGTATCTGGCATTTATGTTGCTTGAGGGAAATTAGGTGGTTGGGGGCAATAAGGAATTCAAGGAGTGGCTCTGATAGCAAAAATGTTTGTCTTAACAAACTATGTATCGGTAAATAGTGCCCCTCTCTGCCAGGATCTGTATTTCACTTCAACATCTCAAGCATGTTATCCTAGTTTTCCTCTCTCTGGCAGCTCAACCAGAGCTGTCACATCACAAACAACTTTTTTCTTAATATACACATCTGGCGTTGGCAGTTGGAGCAACTTCATAAGAGCACATGATCATCATTCATTACAAGATTAAAAAGTACCCCATGGCATCATTGATGTTTTTTAACTTTGATCTTTTGCAGTTGTGATTCATCTCAGTTATAAAACTTCCCTTTAAAGGAACACAACCGATGACTTATTAGAACCTTCATTCTGAGGAGCGTAAACATAAAATTATGCACATCTTTACAAAATGTCATTTACTCTGTTGCCAGCTTATCATTTTAAGACATGACATCATGCTTTAGATCGTGAATTTGTAAGGCTTGTTTATAGGCAAGGCACCCTGACCTTCTCTTGGCAAGTTGACTGGAGTGAACGAACGCTGCGAGATTCCCAGCAGCAGTAGGAGCAGCAGCAATGCCATAACAGATATCACAGTCATTTAGAGCCTCACTTCAAGAGTGCTGAACAGTCGTGGCATGCAGGGACTCCAGTTGGTGTTTTGGATGCTCAGCACTTCAGAAAGTTGGGTTCTTAAATGTAAGTGCCATTTAGTCGTATTAAACATCTGCTTGTAGAAGCTTGCTGCCTTGCCTCGCTGTTATTATTTTAAAATATTTTAATAGAGACAGTGATGCCAGGTTGCTCTGTTAGGAAAACTTGCCCATTTCTATATGAGAAAAGGTCTTCTGATGATTTTTTTCTTAGAAAAAATTTATTTAATTTTACTTAAATCTCTTCCAGTCTATCTAGATTACTATCCAGGGACATCTACTGTGTTCCACAGTCTCTGTGCTGGACTGAGAGAGAGCATTGCACTCTGAGTGATGGAGTCTAGAGACAGGGTTGTATAAGATCTTTGGGAATCATTAGGAAATCCTGCAGATATTTTTCTCTCCTCATATCCAGGATAAAACCTCTGCCATATGCACATCTTAGCCAGCAGAGCTGCCTTCCAGCTGGGAGGGCTGAAAGAAGTTTTCCGGAGAAGTTGTCATGAGGTCATAACTGACGGACATATAGCCAGAGATTACTGTAAAGGAAGTAAAGGACGAAAAAAACCAGAATGAAAAACCACCTAAAATCTTCACCTAAGACACCCTTTAATGCCTTTGTCTTACCTCATTACAACCACAGAAATAATGATTTGCCCTTCCATAGTGAATAGGAGACACATCCTCCTTTCTGGCTGTTTTTGGGGCAAACCCAGCCAGGAGGGAAATCACGAGGAAGGAGGGAGGAGAAGTCTATATATTTTTATATTTTACCTGACTTGCAAAGACTTTAGTTCATCTCTAATTAAAGGTAGGCTCTAAAGTCACCGACCCCAATTTTCTTTGTCAGTGTGAATGGAAAAGCACTTTTGAGCTTTGAGCTGAAGCGTTTCAGGGGAGAAAACTGCTCTGTTTCATTCAGCTCGCGAATATTTCTCTGCTGCCGCAGCTTGCAAGGTGCACACGTGATGAAAGGTATGAGCAAACACCACATCGCCTTTTTGTCTGTGCACGCTGCGGAAGGCAGCAAAAGCCAGCCAGGGGTTCTGCTCAGCCTCCGCATTAACTGTTTGCCCGACCCGGCTTATAAAACGCAGATAAGTGATTGAGATTTTTGAGATTCCTCGACTTAAAACCATAACAGTTTTTAGGAAGTTCTCCCTCTTTTCTTTCAAAGGCGGAGTGGGTGGAGGGATAAGTCTGGGGCGAGTGGAATGTGCTTTGGAGTAGAACAGCTTTAAATCTTTCAGTTTGCCTTTTTTTTTTTTTTAATTTTTGTCTCTTTTTCTTTTTTTCTTCTTTTTTTTTTCCCTTTTTTTTTTTTTTTTTTTTTTTTTTTTTTTTTTTTTCTTTTTTTTCTTTTTTTTTTTTGTTGACTGCCTGTCAGGAGCTGGGCTGGTGGCCAAGCAGGAAATGACACATCGAGAGGCATTTGTGTTGTGCAACATTTTGTGGAACTGATGCAAGGATACATTGTCTGTTTACGCATTCCTCTGCTAACAGCCTGCATGGCAGTAATTTTATTCAGGGACACATGGCATGCTACAGCAAGGAGCTCGAGCCTTAACATCTCTTTATGCAGAATTATCACAGCAGTTAAAGCAGTCTGTGTTGTCCCCCCGTTTTGAATATTCTCTGGCTTGCCTTCAAAAACCACTGTACCAGCCCCCCCTTCCTTCCCAAGAACATATTGGTTTGACTGTGGGTTTTTTGCACTGTGGTAAATTGGGGCAGTGCAGAGAGAGTTTGCAGAACAAGAGGAAATTTCAGAGGCAGGTCCCTACTTCATGCATCTACCTCAAACTGTAAACGGAGCCATGCAGTTTTTTTGGGCAATGCGCTGCAGACGCTGAGGGCGTCAGTTTGCATCTGCATGTGGTTTGGCACGAGGAGGTTTTTAATTAAAGTCAACGCTAAATACCCCGAGATACGATGAACGAGTCCTGGGGTTTCATCCAAACCGAAGTTAGAAAATCTGTGGCTTGTGCTGGTGTCTTTCAGAGTGACAGATCTCTGCTGAGATCGGCTGGGTTAGCCTGGATTTATCCCAGCGGCTGTGGGAGCAGGGGAAGGCAGAGTGGGCGGTTTGGGGTTTGCAAGTTGCTCTAAATG